TCCAACCCAGCTTCCTGGTAATGTGTCTGGAAGGCAGTGAGTGATGGCCCAAGCGCTCGGGTCTCTGCCACCCGCATGGCAGACCTGAACAGAGGTGCCTGGCTTCTGACTTCAGCCTGGCCTACCCCCCGCTGTTACAGGCATCTGGGGGAGCTAACCAGTGGCTGGAAAAATCCCTCCTTCTTTTTCTCCCTCTTTCTGTCACTCTGCCTTTCAAATACATAAATCTTTAAAAAAAAAAAAAGTGGAGCCTTGTTTGGGACACAGGCACTCTGATGGGGGACATAAGCATAAGCACCGTAAGCTCTAGGCCAGATGCCCATCTCCAAGAGGGAATTTATTAAACCAGATACCCTTACTTCAGACACAAGTGAATCCTGGAGGCTTGAGCAACGTCATTAGGACCTGGCTTCTGTCACCTGTCGCTCCCTTCAACCTTGAGACTTGTCTCACACTGGTTCTGCCCTCATGGTGACAAGATGGCTGCCAGCAGCTCCATATCTGGGGACTAAGAAACCTCGTGCAGAGTGACACGAGGCAGAAGATAAGATGAACTCTAGCGAGGCTTTGACCACATGCCCATCCTGGCTGGTCAGTGGCCTGCCCAGTGTTTTGATTGGCTGAAGTTGAGCCTTAGGCTTCCTTCTGAACCTGGGGTAAAGTCGGCTCCACTCATAGCAGGGAGACAGGAAGGAGAGGGGTGAGCAAAAGTGGGGATGAGGCAGGAGGTGATGTGCCCACGAGGGAGGGAGTGAGACGCAGGGCAAGGAGAGCAGCAGGCGACAGCCGGCACAGGCCGCGCCTGCGATACCCTGCACGACTCTTTCCTGGGGCTTCCGGGTACAAGGATTTGCATTTTTGTTTCCTAGGAGTGTAATAAATGTCCAGTAAGCAGAGGCCTTCATGAGTGACAGGATAACTGGTCCAGTGCACGCCTGAGCAGACACAGGAATCCAGGCCCAGCATCCGAAATGTGTGACACACACGTGCACGACTCTTGATTTGCGTGTCCCCTCCAAAACTGTGCAATTTTATGGTTCTTGCAATCCGTGTCAAGAGGCGAGGCCTTTCAGAAGTGATCAGGCCAAAGGGGCCGTGCCCTGGTGCGTGGGTTAATGCTCTCATCCCGGTGCGGCTTAGCCGTGAAATGAGCACTCTCACAGGCCAGACGGCCTCACCAGGAAGTGCCCCCGGCACCTGTCACAGCAGGAAGGCCCCCGCTCCTGCCATAGGCCAACACCTGGACACTGGGCCTCTCAGCCTTTGGAATTGTGAGAAATGAATTTCTGGTCTATATAAATTACCTGGGCTGTGGTATTCTGTTACAACACCTGAAAACAGACTGAGATACACGCTTATGTGAAATAGTTTTTAAACAGAAAATACAGTAACACTTAAGCATAATTTAAACTATATCTTAGGCCTTCAAATAGTTCACTATAGTTCTATACTTAAATGGTTCCCAATTTTTGCTAATATCCCGGGATGGGGGTCAGTGTGGTATAGAGGTGGCACCCCACATAGTAGCAATAGTTCAGGTGCCAGCTGCTCCACTTCCAGTTCAGAGCCCCGCTAATGCGCCTGGGAGAGTGTGGAAGATGGCCCAGTGCCTGGCTCGCTGCCACTCACGTGGGAGACCCAGATGGAGTTCTGGGCTCTTGGTTTCGTCCTGGCCCAGCCCTGGCCATTGCTGCCATTTGGAGAGTGAATCAGCAGATGGGAGATCTCTCTCTCTCTCTCTCTCTCCCTTTCAAAGAAATAAATAAATCTTACAAATAAAAATCCTTTGTACTTCTGATTATCAGTGTATAAAATAGCCTTAGAAGAGAAAGTTTTTAAAAAGTAAACACTTTACCAATATCCACATAATTATTTTCTACATGTAATTATTTTCTACATCCACAAATGACTGACAATTAAAAAATGATTGTGACTGGAGTTTTCAACTACATGAGTGAATTCTCCTTCTGCACTATTCGTGGTTTGGGTTTCTGTTACTTGCAACCAAGAGTCCGGACAACACACCCCTTCTCTTTTCCAATGTCTGTTCAGTCGTGTGTGGGGACAGCACCCCAGGAAGAGGAGGCCCCTTGGGGGTTTCTGTATCAAGGTTCCCAGGGTCGGACGTGGAGCAATGGCTCCTCAAGTCTTTTCCCTGTGTGCTCTCTGCTTGGGGCGGGGGGGAGGAGACCACTCAGCTGTCTGAGCAAAGAGTCGGGGGTGCCCCACCACTGCCCACCAGCAGGAGGTCCGCGGTAGGACGCACTGGCTGCCATCCCCAGGGAGAGCGGCTCCGTGTCCACCTGCAGGCCCCCTGTGCACAGACCCCGCGGCAGCGGCCATGCGCACTGCCTGCCTCTCTGCTCACAGGGCTGGCCAGCAGGCAACCAACAGGCAGAGCCCATGGCGAGAGCCCCACTTCACTCAGCAGGTGCAAGCCCAGTCCAGCAGGGCGAAATCGCCTACCTGAGCTGCGAACCAGGGATTTTCGCCCGCTGATGCTTTGACGCAGGGCCTCCGGCAGGCGGGGAGCTCTCGCCACCTGCTGAGCACACAGGCCTCCCGAGCCCCGAAGCTCTGGGCTCACCCTGGAGACCACGGCGGGGGCGGCCCAGCCCTGTGTTTCTTTCCAATACCAACGCATCATGGAACATTGTAAAATACAATGACATGGGGCCAGCGCTGTGGCGTGGTGGGTAAGACCGCTGCCTGCACTGTCGGAGTCCCATGTGGGCGCCGGTTTGAGTCCCGGCTGCTCCACTTCCGGTCCAGCGCTCTGCTGTGGCCTGGGAAAGCAGTGGAAGATGGCCCAAGTCCTTGGGCCCCTGCACCCACATGGGAGACACAGAAGAAGTTCCAGGTTCCTGGCTTTGGATTGGCATAGCTCCTGCTGTTGCAGCCATCTGGGGAGTGAGCCAGCAGATGGAAGACCTCTCTCTCTCTCTGCTTCTCTGTAACCCTGCCTTTTAAATAAATGGGTAAATATTTTAAAATAAAAATAAATGACATTAATCGCATTAGACATTTTATTTGGAAGGCAGAGTCACACACACTCACACACACACACACACACACACACACACACAGAAAGAATCTTCCATCCACTGGTTCACTCCTCAAATGGCCACAAGGGCCAGGGCTGGGCCAAGTTGAAGTCAGGAGTCCAGAATCCACCCAGGTGTCTCATGTGGGTGCAGGAGCCTAAGTACTTGGACCATTCTCTGCTGCTTTCCCAGGTGCATTAGCAGGGGAACTGGATTGGAAGTGGAGCAACTAGGACTTGAACCAGTGCCATGATATGGGATGCCAGCATCCCAGGTGAGAAATTAACCTGCTGTGCCATAACACAGACTCCAATCTCATTAGAAACTTAAGCGCCGGCCCTCACTTTTTTTTTTTTTAGATTGATTTATTTATTTGAAAGTCTGAGTTACACAGAGAGAGGAGAAGCAGAGAGAGAGAGAGAGAGAGAGAGAGAGAGAGAGAGAGAGAGAGTGTGTTCCTTCATCCGCTGGTTCACTCCTCAATTGGCTGCAACAACTGGAGCAGCATCAATGTGAAGCCAGGAACCAGGAGCTTCTTCCAGGTCCCCCACACGGGTGCAGGGGCCCAAGGACTTGTGCCATCTTCTACTGCTTTCCCAGGCCATAGCAGAGAGCTGGATTGGAAGTGGAGCAGCCGGGTCTCAAACTGGCACCCATATGGGATGCCGGCATTGCAGGCGCCGGCCCCCCACTTTCTTTTTTTAAACAAATCAGATTCAAAAGTCTCTAAGTGCTTATTCTACATTTCTGTACCTACTGTGGACAGGTCCCAGCCAGCCTGGAACTGCTCTGGCCACCACCGTGATAAGAGCTGCTCTACTCTGGGGAGAGCACCCTGGCTTTGTTTGCGGCTGGACCAGAACAAAGCCAAGAGCCTGGGAGTTCAACATGGGTCTCCCGATGTGGCTGGCAGGGGCCCAAGTCTTGGAACCATCACTTGCTGCCTCCCAGGGTGCACTGTACTGTCGGCAGGAGGAAGCGGAGCTGGGACTGGAACCCAGGCACTCCAGGATGGGGGGGGGGGGGGTCAGGTGTCCCACGCTGCGTGCTATCACCGTGCCACAGTCCCAGGCCTGTGCTTAGCTTTTCTGGCTCTGCTTTGTCACTGCGTCTGAATCCTATTTTTCATGGCTCTGTTCAAATGTCAGCTACTCCAATGATGATGACAGCTGTCATTAATCCGGGCCCTGCCATGATTCCAATATTGCGATAGGCATCGTACAGACAGCGCGCTTCCCTTTCCCAACAACCCTACAGGATGTTATCAGCCCTCCTGCCACCGGGCAACAGGATTCTCTGCAAAGTTTTCTGAGTCTGCAATCAGATACGACTTTTTTTCCTCTAAAGCCGGTTTTTCGCACCTTTTAAAAAATCGCTTTATTGAAACATGTCATATAGAGAGGCAGAACTATTTGTAGAGCTTGGCGAATATTCAGAAACTCGGCACATCCATGTAATCCTAAGATGAAAAAAAAAAAAAAAAACGACCAAACAGGCCCTAACAGTGTCCTGAACACCTCCACCACCCCCACCAAGAGTGGCCACCGCCCTGGCTTCTAACTGCATGGCTGCTCCGCTTGTGTTTATTCGTCATCTAAACAGAATCTGCAAGTCTGTGCTCCTGCGTCTGGCTTTGTTCGTTCAGCAACGTGAGCAGGATCACACCGCCCGTTCTCACGGCAGCACTGCAGTCCATGTGCGCACGCCACAAGGTTTTCATTCCCTGCGCCCTTGCTGTTGATGGGCATCTGGGTGGTGTCCAGCTCTGCTGTGAACCTTCTAGCACTCGTCTGTTGGTGCACCGTGTGCTGTGTGAGTCACTAAGAGTGTGGCTACAGGGACACAGGTGCGCTCTATGTCCAGTGCTAGTAGATGCCGACCTCTCTACAGGCACTTTAATATTCCATATTATTTTCATCTTGTTTGAGAATTTCATTTTCCTTACTAGATAACAAGTGGTTTTTCAGTTGAATATTTACTAATAATGCGCAGACTCACTTTAAAATGAGGCGTCTAAGAGACAATTTAAGACAATACTGAAGTGAGATGGCAGGAAGGAATACATGGGCTGGAGGGGCTTGGGTGGGGGGAGAGGCTGAAACAAACCCAAGGGTCCAAGTGCACCTCACAAGGTCTTAGGCACTTTGTAAAAAGCTGGACCACAAATATGGCTGAGCTTCCTATCAGGCAACACAAAGAGGGAATCAAGTTATAGAACTGAACGTTCACAGGATACAGGTACCAATGACTGGGCAGTGCTGCCGCTTCTGGATCTCAGAATTTATTTTCATTCCAAGTCTTCCCACGGGGGATATGATTCAACACTGAAACCCCGACAACTTGATTTCAGTTACAAAAGTAAGAAACAGTCAGCTTCTCCCTTTCTCTTACAGTCCCTCTCAAGGAGGACAGGCCAGAGCCTGGGTAACTCTCGGACGGAACTAATGCAACTTGGCCACACGACTCTCAAAGGGCCTGATTCGATCCAAGAGGGACAAAACGACTCAAAATGCAGGCCAGGGATTTCCAGAGGTCTCTGAGGCTTTCCCAGGAGGTCTGCGTGGTCCAGCCACATTACAACACATGGACAGCATCTCCGATGGTTTCACTCACCCTCTTAGCAGCGAGGACGGCAGAGCTTCCCTGAGGGCACGTGTGTGGCATAGCGACAGATCAGAGGCAGCGCCAGCTGCGAGAATCCAGTCTCTTCGGATTCGCAAACTGCCTTTTTTCTGTAGGGGTTTGTTACTTATATTTTTAAATGATTTGATAAATATTTTTCCATGTTCTCTTTTAGTTTCTAATAGAGTAAGCATCTGTAGGTATAAGCCACACAAACAACCACTTTGGAGCTCTTGAAAAAAAATTTTTTTAAGATTTATGTACTTATTTGATGGCTGCCTATGGCTGGAGCTGGGCCAATCTGAAACCAGGAGCCAGGAGCTACCTCTGGGTCTCCCACGCAGGTGCAGGGGCCCAAGCACTTGGCTCTTCTTCCGCTGCTTTCCCAGGTGCACTGGCAGGGAGCTGGATCAGAAGTGGAGCAACTGGGACTAGAACCGGTGCCCACACGGGATGCTGGTGCTGCAGGCAGCAGCTTACCTGCTCTGCCACAGAGCTGGGCCACCCCCCAAAATTTTTTAGAGTGTAACAGGGCCCTGAGACCAGAAAGCTTAAGAACCACTGGTCTAAGGAAGACTTCCCCCAAAAGTCTTCTGCTGCTAGCTCCAGTCCTAGAAGATAAACTGCGAGAAATGCTCTCATCAACTACACCTGGCCATGCTATGCCTGTCTTAGAAATCATAGAATGACAAGCTAATACACCTCGTCCCCTTCATTAACTCTTTCCCAAAGGCACGTGACTGAGCTGCGCCCTTTCGAGAGCTTCAGGCATCAGCCTGGGGTGCCCCTGGGCCGCCCAGGCAGGAACAGCAAGGCCGTGGGTCAGTCCCCAGGGACAGCACGCCTTGCACGCCAGCACCTGCCACGGGTAGACAGCAGAGTCTGAAGTGACGTCTCTGAGCAACTCCAGGCAGCTGGGCGGGACGCTCAGCCCCTTTCTCTCTGCAGGGAGGCGGGCCAGGCCAGGCTCTGGTCCAGCCTAGACGGCTGGTGGAGGCCCTGTGGTTTTCTTCCACAGAGCGCAGGCACAGCCATGTCAGCCCGGCCATCCCCCACCACAGGTGGTGCCACGCGCTGGCTACACTCAGAAGCATCGGACTCTGCTGTGTTAACTTCTTGGTGACCCCACCAAAGCAAACAGTGGTCAAATGGACCTCTGTGAGTCAACTTCCTTTATTGAGCTGTTACCCCTACGTCAATTAAACGTCAGGGAATGCGTACCAGACACAGTGACGTGCTTTGAGAACCATCAATCTCCTTTCGTTTTGGCAGGAATTGCATAACTGAGTCAGTTATCTATTAAGAAAACTCTAAGTTCCCAAGAATAAAATTATGCCATCAGCCGTTTCATCTAAAGACAGCCTACAGCCATATGCAAGGCACCTTTTCAGAAACATATAATCTAAAAGGGGCTAGAACGAGCAGGAGAGAGAGAGAGAGGGAGGGAGGGAGGGAGGGAGGGAGGGAGCCGGGAGTGGGGGAGAGGAATTTCAGTCTCCTCTCAGCAACACCTGGTGAGGGACCTGGTAGACAATGATTCCACAAACACCTGCCTCACCAAATTGCAAGTTACCTTTAAAATGTTCACTTGTACAAACAGAACACTGCACAAATTTCTAGTCCAAGAATGCTTCTTGGTACTTAAGAGTTTACAAAAAAGTACTTGAAGAGAAAGCTTCATAGACCATTGTGTATTAAAAATAAATCATTTTACTGTATGCATATTTGCACTCCTGTTAATTCACCGTGATTTGAACCATGCACCTGCACGTACACAGCTGAATGGGCTTCGTAGTGACTTAGTTTCCAATGCAGAGCCGCCTTCCAGGAGCCGTGGGTAAGGGAACTGGTTATTCCTAAACAGCCCCGCGTACCCTGTCCCCAGAGAGCCTTCCAACATGGACGTTTTCGAAGAGCCCCAGGACGTGGTCCAGCAGGGAGGGTTTTCGGCGCAGTCTCTTATTTGGAAGATGGCAAACCATCTACGAGCACCTTCCTGGTTGCTCGTATGCACATCACGGCTCTGTCAGGGGTAAAGGCTGAATAATAAGCAGGTCCCCTCCAAACACAGCGTGGGAGACGGCTTCATTTTTGGGGAAGGCAAACCGAATCATGAAAACCTGCTAACGGTGTAATTCATTCCAGGGTTCTTTCGGATACTTGATGTGAATCCTTGGGTACAGTCTCTCATTACAAGTCGTCTTATTGATGGCATTGCAGTTTGTTTCTCCAGCTTTCAGCCGATAGCCAGGTGATTTATTATGGTCCCTGCCACATCGAAAGCACGCAGATGTCTATACTCGTAATCAGAGTTGCTGACAGCCTCTCTCATTTCCTGCCAAATGGATCTGACCACACTTTTAACCCTACGGAAAGAAACATGAACAAAAACAGGACTCATTTTCAAATGTCCTACCACTTCCATCAGCCCCAAACAAACATTACAAGGTCGGGATTGAGCCGGGCAGTTTCCATGGGCTGTGAGATGGGTGAACAGGCCGCTGAGCCCTGCACCGGAACGGCTGGGCAGCCACGAGGGACTCCTAAATGGCTCAGAAGCTGCCCTGCACCAGGAAGCTATGGATCTGGGCTAGTTAAAAACAGACAAAAAAGAGAAGAAAAGAAAAAGAACGTCGCCACAGACGACAAGAGCTTTTGGTTAATAAGCTGGAAACCTCTTATTTCCGGTCAAGTTGGATCATCTTAAAGTAACCACCCATGCAGTCATTCAGGGAGTTTTCTGAGCCATTGTAGAATGCAGAATCCTGCATGGGTTGAAAGGGTCCACAAGCAAACACCACCTTCCCACGAGGGGGGTGGGCGAGCGATTAAATGAGCACCTGGCAAGGAAGCCTGAAACAGCTAGTCCCGCCTCACATCTAATTGCCCACTGTCCCCTGCCCCTGTCCACTTCTCAAATGCAGAAGAGGAGGGAGCCCAACTTGAACAACAGTGTTGTGGAGAGAAATTTCAAAATGAAGTCTTGGGTGGCAGCTATAAAATGGCAACCATGTGAAAGAAAGAGCAAAATCCTACTCCAGTCCCGCCCACGGGCCGTATAAGAACGGCGACATCATCTGATCTGGCCCTGCTAAGGCCAGACACAGGACCTTGAAACTCAGTCTGCAGCAGGCTAATTTTTGAAGCTGATAATTTTTTGTAAAGATTTATTTATTTTACTTGAAAGGCAGAATCACAGAGAGAGATGGAGAATGAGAGAACTTCCATCCGCTGGTTCACTCCCCAAATGGCTGCAATGGCCAGCGCTGGGCCAGGCCGAATCCAGGAGCCAGGATCTTCTTCCGGGTCTCCCAAGTGGGTGGCAGGGGCCCAAGCACTTGGGCCGTCTTCAGCTGCTTTCTCAGGCCATTAGCAAACAGCTGGATCAGAAGTGGAGCAGCCGGGAATCCAACTGGTGCCCATATGGGATGCCGGTGCTACAGTCAGTGGCCTTATTCCATCCACCACAGTGCTGGCCCCTAAGCCAATAATTTTGTATGGCCCACAAATGATGCTAAAAAATATACAAGCAGCCCTCGGCAGGCAAAAGGGTGCCCACCTCTGCTCCAAGTTGCAAGCCTTCTCTCGTCTTCCATGGCACAACACGCAAATCACATAACCAATAGCCTAAGTGAGACTTTGCTAGGATTTTCTTTGTTTTAAGTTTACCTGGAGGCTGCACATCTTCTTGAACAATTCCAGCCCGATTTATGGCTTGTTCTTTCTCTGAAAAACACAAGAGAGAAATTGCTCTTTAGAGAGAGAGGAGGGTGAAATCTTTGTATTTACATGGGCCAATGACACGGAACGATTAGAGAGTAGTATTTATGGGTGCTATTAAATTCAGAGATGCCATTACTCAAAGCTCTTAGGTCGTGGAAGTGAGATCCTAGAATGCAAAAGAGGTGAAGCCATACTTCAGAAGAAAAGCTGCCAACCAACATTTTTTCCCTGTGATCTCAGCATTTTGGAAAGGCAACAAAACAGAAAAAGAACAATTCTGGGAGAACTGGTGGGCGTGATATTACAAAGGGGATGCTGAATTGAAGGAGTGAACACAATGGACAAGAACACGATGCAGTTGATAATGTCGAAAATTCTCCCCACTGCAGGACCAGACGCACAGCTCAATCTGCCATGTTTTTGATAGGAAATAGAGCAGAAAATTAATCTTTGGGTGGGTGGCTTTGGTTTGGATAATTGAAGCTTCCCTAATTGATTGCAGGTGCTGTGCCAATTAGTAAACGCGTTGTAGCTACAGCGGCTGAGCCAGTCTCTTTGGAGACAGCCCACGGGCAAGGGCCAGGAGAAATTGGGCATTTTATGTCTGTGGGCCTCAAGCACTCCGACGTGTCTTTCTGAGCGGGTTAGAATAAACCCGAGATCTGTGAAAACAAAGACTTATTATTTTAAGTAGCTTGAAAAACAAATGGCAGCTCGGTAGGAGGAACGACTTGGAGCCAAAGGATGTTTACTAATAGGTCGCAGTCATGAAATGTTGTCGTCAGACCTTTGTCTCAACCAGGCTGACAGCGCTGTTCTAAATCCACACTTGGCTCCTGTTCAGTACTAGGCCCAAACTCTTTATTTTGGCTTCTGGATTCTCATAAAGTCACACAAGCATAAAAAGCCCGAGGAATGGGGTTTTGCCAAATCTGACACTTGGTGAACGTGCTTCTCTGGTGATGTGGCACCAAGTCCATCCCCAGTGACCCCGCTCACTGCTTCATCACTGCTAAGTTTTGCTCTGGCACGTAAAAGCCTGGGCACTGGGGACTATGCAGCTCCTGATGTCCCATTCCAAGAGGGACGGAGAGAAGATGGAGCAAACGAGACTGATCGCAGACAATGGCCGAGAGTCTCCCTGTCCCTCTAGTCCAAGTCGCAGGTGAACGGCAACCAAGAACCTCAAGGGCCTCCACTGGCCAAAAGACTTTGTTGCCCTGGAGGGGATGAGAGACGACCTCCATCGAGTCACAGCTTCTGAGTTCTCCTTTCCCAAGATGTTCAAGGCTGGTACACCGAGCCCTACCACCCTGTGACAGGCAGGCCTCCAAGCGTGCGCGTTTCAAGCCGACTCCTCCGTCTCCCAGGAACCAAAGCAGCTTTAATTCCCCAGACCTAACAGGTCTGCCCTCTGATATGACGGAAGAGGGGAGTTTTTAAATACAATCCACTATCAGAGGTCCAGACCTGTAGATTTCAGATCAGACACCTTGGTCCACCAAACACGCTCTCCAACAGGCAGGTACAGCACGGCCAAAGCAGCTGGCGGGCTGCCAAGCGAGCTGACTCTTGGTGGCACGGACAGAATACCTAATTGTGTTCTAACCTCTTATGATGCAATGGGGAACGCGCGAACAGAAAGGAATCCCTGTCTTCACACTCTTGCTCACTGCTAACGAGCGTGGAGAGAGAGATGGAGGATTTGTTTTAAATAGACCATAATCTTCATAATCCTTGTCCTAATGCAACCACTTCTGCAGTTTGGCTCAGACAGGCAATTTAAACCAGTTTCTACCTAGTGATAACCAGGTATTAGCAACCTATCTACAGCCACTGGCTCTTTAATCCGTTCATGGTTTACAAAGACGCCAAGGCCAGAGCAGCCTGACACAAAGGCACTCTATTCATGACACAACATGGGCAAAAAGGAAGCCAGAAACCATTCTCTGAGGACTTCGCAAGTGCGTGGCGATGAGGGTGCCCACTGGGGAAAGGACAATGCCTGCAAAGCCCGGAGAAGGGCAGTGGCAAGACTCGGAGGTCTAACTTCCGGAACAAGCTGGGGCAAACTCATGACCGACTTGAGGAGTGCGCATGTCTCAGTCGGGGGCGAAAGCATGCAAACCCTCTCCGCAAGTCCCACTCTGCCCCCTGGTGCTAAGGCAGGGGCTGGATTTGCAGTTTTAATTGCGAATCCTTATTCCCAAAGGGCAAAGTCCGACATTCAGCTCGGGACACGTGGATGTGGGCTGATTGCTGTATGACAGTACGAGAATCTATCTGATCACTTTGAAGTCTTTGAAAATGACAACACAGCCAGTATTTGGAAATAAATTCTGTGTGACCTGTTTCGGCATCTAACACCAACACCACCAACCAGGGCAGCAGCCTGTAACCAGGACTTGGGGGCGCGCTCCTGGAGGACCCGCAGAGAGGGAGCCGAAATAAAAGAGCAGGTGCCAGCCAGTGCAGAAGAGGACCTCTTTCCCCCATCTTAAGCCACCACTTGGGACATCTGCATCTGGCATCAGAGTGCAGGTTCAAGTCCTGGCTGCTCTGCCTCTGACCCAGCTCCTTGCTAATGAACCTGGCCAGCAGCAGATGATGGCTCAAGAGCTTGGGCTTCTACTGCCCATGTGGGAAACCAGGATGGAGTTTCTGGTTCCTATTTTCAGCCTGGCTCAGCCCCAGCTGTTGCAGGCAAACATTCGAGGAATGAACCAGCAGATGGAAGATCTCTGTCTGTCTCTGTCACTCTGCCTTTTAAATGAATTAAAAAACTAAAACCAAAACCAAACCAACCAAACAAAAAAGCACACAAAAAGCAACCAGCAGTAATTGGAACAAATGACACACTTTGAATACAGCCCACACATCAGATGACAGGAATGTCTCCATATTAAATGTCCTGGGTTGGATAACAGCATTGTGCGTAGGTAAGGGAATGCCTTTGCTCTCAGGAAATCTAGGCTGAAGCGTTCAGGAGTGAAAACTCAGTGTCTCCAACTTACTGCCACATGATTCAGCAAAGTAACAGGAAGAATTACATTACCGTGTATGTAAAATTACAGATGCATCTGCTAGTGTGCGTATAGATTATATGTGGGAAAGAGAGCAAAATGTGACAAAATGCTAACAACTAGTACATCTAGCTGAAGAATATACAGGAATTCATTGTGCTATTCTTTGATCTCTATCTGAGTGGAAGTTTTCTCAATAACAAAAATACAACTTGGGGCTGGCACTGCGGTGCAGCAGGTGAAGCCGCTGCCTGAGACGGCAGCATTCCGGATCAGAGTGCCGGTTTGAGTCCCGGCTACCCCACTTCCTATCCAGCTCCCAGCAGCGGAAGATGCCCCAAGTGCTTGGGCCCCTGATACCCACGTGGGAGACCCAGATGGAGTTCCAGGCTCCTGGCTTAGGTCTGGCCACACTCTGACATTGTAGTCATTTGAAGAGTTAACCAGTGCATGGAGATCTCTCTCTTTCCCTTTCTCTCTCTCTCTCTCTCTCTCACTCACTCACTCTGAGTCACCCTCTAGCACTCTGCCTTTCAAATAAACAAATTAAAAAAAAAAAAACACTTAGAAAATGTATTTGCACGTCACTGCTATTGCCTAGACTTTTACCCAGCAGCCTGTGGGGTAATCCAGAAATGGGAACCAGATGCTCAGGGGGACCAGATGGCTGTAACAGCAGGTGCGACCCTGAGGCCCAGGGAGACCAAACAGCTGTGGCCACAGGTGTGAACTGGCTGCCTGAGGGGGACCAAAGGACCATAACAGCAGGTGTGAACCAGAAGCTGAAGGCAACCGGACAGCCATAATCACAGGTGTGAACCACAGGCTGAGGGAGAGACCACGGGATCTCACAGCAAACGGGAACCCAGGCTCCGGGCAGCGGAAGGCCACTCAAAGCCCTGGCTGTGCCCAGTGCTAGAAAGCAGCTGTTTCCTCCGCGGAGGTCTGGTTGGATCTGGGCAGCTTTGTGACGCCAGGCGGAAAACAAGACTTCAGCCTGAGCATTTCGTTCAAGTACAAGGTGAAAGCAAGGAGAAGCAGGTGAACGGGGCCCAGGTCCCGACGAGGCAGGACCATTTCCGCACAGGGGTGTCTTGGGACCCTGCCCTGCCTGGGTCCAGCAGCCAGGAGTCAGGGGCAGTGAGTGAGGTGGCACAGCCGGCACCGGGCACAGGCCAGCTGTCCCCCTTCTCCACGCTGCCTGCTGGGAACACTCCTCGCCGCCCTCACGGCCAAGGCCAGGAGGGCAGGGGGCTGGCGTCCACCAGCAATTACCAGGCGGTGACTTTCAGTAAGTCATCTAAACGAGGGGACTCAGGGAGCTCAAAGCGCTGCCAGCAACACCCTGATTCTGTCTCGCTCTACCAGTCGGCCTCAAAAGGCCACGATGAGGATCCCCATCTACTTCCAGCACACTCACGGCCATCTGCGCGCTTCCCTAAATGCACCACACCATGACAACAGGATGGAAGCTGAAAAGCCAAAACAGCAGCAAACCCACGTCTGGCCGTGCAGAGGCACAGGCGAGTGCACTGCGCGGGTCCTGGAGCCCTGTCCCCTGTCCCCACGGACAGCTGTCCCTCCTCGGGCTGGCTGCAGGGCGCCAGCCTGGAGGCGACCTGGTGCTGCACACAGCAGTGAAGTCTTGCTGAGCGAAGCAGAGAGCTGAAGGTCACGCTGAGGCCCCACTCACAGCCGCCTCCAGCCTCGGCAGGTGGAAGAGGCGCCCTTTCTTCAGCCCAGGGCTCCCTCCCCTACCTGAGCACGTGGCTCCGTGCCAACTCCCACTCTGGGCACCTCATCACTCGGCACCTTTCTCGCCTCTGCCAGCCAAGACCAAACACTCTCCCTGGATCTGCTGCAAACAGCACTTGGCCACTCTCCTCTCTGCGCAGCCAAAAGTCTTTACACGGTGCATTTACTAAACCGGCTGTGCACTCTTGAATCTACCGCAGTCCGCTTGCTGCCACTTCCGAATGGCGGGGAGCAGGCTTAACAACCCTGACCCCGAATTCTCACCTTTTCACTAAGTCCAGCATGTTCACTTCTTACCTTGCTTACCTGGCCCTACTGGCCACACCCTCTTTCCTGAAGCCCAGTCTTGGGACTTGGGCCTGCACCCTCCCCCCCACTTCCACCCATCTCTGCAGCCACCCCATCTTGGTCTCCCTAGAGGGCCCCCCCCCTTCTCCAGCTCCCCACCCTGGGGCTCCAAGCTCAGCTCCAAAGCGCCAATTCTACTGCCTATGGGAAATGGCCGAGAGCACCTCCTTGACCCTCAGTCTGTCGGAGACAGAACCACCCCCAGGGCTCCCCTCCCAAGCTGTGTAATCAGTGACCACCTGCAGCTCCTTCTCTCCAGCTATTCAGAGTCAGAGGGCTGGATGCCCTCCTTGTCCGCCCTCCTGACCCCTGGGGCATTTGCTTCTGCAATATGCCTCCCCACGAGGTCACCTCCTCTCCCTGCTCCTGTAACCACTGAGGACGGTCACCTCTCCCTGGGGAGGCGGGCCCCACAGCTTCCTGCAAGAGACCCTTCCCACACCTCCTTCACGCACAGCCAGGGCTACCTATACGCAGGGGATCCAGCCCCCTGCGCTCCTTGCTAAACACTTCCCGGCTCGTCCCCCGGCCGGCCTCGCGGGACAGCAGAGGGTAATGAAGTATTTAATCAGACAAAGAGGGTTGATCACACGCCATGAACAACAGAGCGGCTGCGGGCTCTCCAGCAGGCTCGGTGGAGGAGCTGTCGTGCTACCCAGGTGCCCACAAACGACATCGAGTTTCCTGGCTGCAGGTTCCCACCCAAGAAGTATTCACAGATGCACGCCAGAAAGGAGAAAGAGAGGAGACGCTAGAAGGGTGTGGCTGAAGACAAGCCCTCAGGGACATAACAGAGGGTCTTACTGACTGGAGGGGTAATAAATACAGGGGAGGACCCACACAGTCAGCACAGGCTAGGACAAGTGCAGCCAAAGTCACCGAGCGTCTGCTTTGGTCAGGGACACCCAGCACCTAACAGGGCCAGGTATGAACAACTGCTAAAATCCAAGTTAAAAAAGAGAAAGCAAACACGCTAAACAAACGCTAGTTGAATGCACTGAAATGGACTGACTTCCGTCCACACAGCAGGTTCCTATAACCTGGTCACCAGCGCCCAGTGAGGTGCCCGGGCAGGGCAGCTAGCTGTCGGTCTGTCCACCTGCTTAAATCTCATCCTCCCTCCCCCACCCCCCTTGCCCTTATTTTTCAAATGCTTTTGTGGACCGCCTAACAAAACTTGACAAGGTGTTTTCACACCCCCCGCCTTATTTAAGTCACCCAAAGGCCCCGTAAATTCAGCTCCATAGATTCCTCTGCTCCACATGGGGAGACAGGCAGAGCTCTGAGCAGTGCGGGGGCCCTCATCTAGGAGGGCATTTAGGCCCTGGCCTGCCTCACTCCCTCTCCCAGCTGCCGTAGAGGGGTGGGACGCTGCGCCACGCTTAAGGACCAATGGCACCGGTTCAAAGCCCAGTTCTGTGCATCCTGTGCCAGTTATAACTCAGTGTGTCCACATGAAAAACGGCGATGATCATACTGCAGCTCCCACAAAGGGCTGCTGCGATCTATAGATGGGTTCATATACAAGTACATGAACTTAGAAGTCCACCAGACACACAGTAAACTTTCACCCAAGATTCGCTGCGTCGCATTGGCTGTTTAAAGACTCAGCCGAGACTGCCGGAGCAGAGTTGACAACATTTATCAAAACGGACAGGTGAGCTGCCTTCCGGTGAGAGGTGCAGATACATTAGTCGCTAAATGTCCCCCTAAGAGGCCTGATGCGTCTGTCTCCAGACTCGGGCAACCAAAGATCCTGCAGTGGAGACCCAAGGCACAACCTTCCCTTCCATCCGCTGAGCAGTTTCTCCATCAGGCGCCCCTCGCGGTGGACGGACCTGCACGCTGCACAGCCCGGCAGCTCCCCTGGGCTCTAGCCACTAGGGGCCAGCAGCCTCCTCCAGGTGATGGGGGAAGAACATCTCCAGACACAGCCCGGTGCCCCGTGGGGACCACAGCGCCCCCAGCGGAGAACCGCTGCTATAGACTTCACAACTTCTCAGATGGCACCCAAAGCAGTCCCTGGTCCCCAGGTCAACTCCAGGGGCTGCCATACAGCAGCCCGAGGCAGGGAACCCCTAGAGGAGGGGTGACGGGGCTGGATCACGCAGGGATCCACGCCGCCACCGGGCAGCCCACGCCCGCTGCATGCAGACCGGCCGGAAGGCGGGGTGCACAGAGGCCTATGCGGTCATGGCTGATGGGAAGCAACGACAAGGAAACCCGAGTGTGTGCTTAAAACACGCTGCCTCTAGAAACCAAATGTTGCGGCATCTGGAAGGGGCAGGGCGCTTGGACAGAGCTTCCGCCTCCCAGTCACCAAGCTCTTAGCCTCCACTGCCATTGTCAAGGGGCAGGGCTGGCCCTCCTCCAGCTTCGAGATGACCCAGGGTTCCTGGAGAACCAAACGAGCCTCTAATGCCCCCTACTTCCCGTGACAGAGGGCTTCAGACGCACCCTAGAGCTCTTCCTCGCCCAGGCGCGGGCCTCGTTTTAGGATGATGGCACCTGAATGATTAAGGAGGAAAATCACTCCCAGGGTATCACCATGCTCATGTGAGCGACAGGTGCAAACAAAGGCACCTGGCGGAACGAGGAAAAACTCCAAAACCCGGGTTAGCAGTTTAGGTTTCAAGTATCTCGGCGCAAAGGCGTGAATGGGGAGCGGGTGGATATGAAGCCCCTCCGGTCCAGGGTGAGCAGGGCGCCGCCTGCCCCTCCCTACATCACCATCCCCGGCACGGGTGCACGCAGGGGCCCGGCCACTCGCTCGCGGCCGCTGTGTGACCTCGGGCAAGCTACACAGCCTCGCCATCCGTGGGTCAGGGAGTGTGTCTACCCCAGGTGAGGTCGTGCAAGGGGGAGCCCCACACACGCCCGGAGCACGGTGGGGCATCGCAGTGCTAACCGCGTCAGCCTCCCGCGTGCACACACGGAGGGGCCGAGAGGCCTGGGGCGCTTGTCCGCGGCCACACAGCGGCACTCGAACCCGGATCTTTCCTCCGCACCACGTGGAACCGACGGGGGCGACGGGGCGATCGCTGGGGCCAGGCCGCGGCGCGGGGTCAGAGGTCACTCACGGTACTCCTCCAGCCTCATTAGGGGCCGGAAGTAGATGGGGTAAAAGGCGGCGCCGATCAGGGAGACGAAGCCACCGAAAATGAGCGCGGTGCGCAGGTTGCGGGACATGACGCCCGGCTTAGGGCTACCCCGACCCGCCGAGCGCCGAGCGCCCAACGCTCTCGAAAACCTTGCTCCCGCCTGGCCGGGACGCGACCCCGCCCGGAAGAGGTGGAGCGGCTTTCGCTTCCGGGCCTTGGAGGCGGGACTGCTGTGGAGGCGGGGCAGGAGGCGGGTCCTGGGACGGAGCGGAGGGGGGCACGCCCGGGGGCGGGGCCTCGAGCTGATTTGGGGGCGGAGCCTGGGGCCTGTGGGTCCCCCGCCCTCGCCGCTCTCGGGATCTGCACCTGCGGGACTCCGGCGGCAGGTTGCGGGCGCAGCTTTTGTCAGGTTCTTCCCGCACCCCTCCCTGCCCTTGGCCTGGTTGTTGCCGCCGCCGCTCAGTCACCGCCTGCAGCCCTCCTTGGCCAGCGACGCAGTCTCGTCCTGCCGCACCCGTCTCACGTTCGGTGACTGCCGTGCGGAGAGCGGCCGGCGGCGAGGGGTGCGTGGCTCTGCAGGGGGCCGCCGGCCCCTGGAGGGCGGTCTGCGGCAGGGGAGACAGGAGTCCAGGGCGCCTGGAGCGCCTGAAACTAAGCGTCCACGCTCAGTGCATCTTCAGCGACTCTGTACCCCATCCCCGCCTCGCTGCTCCCGGGACTGGGTGCCAGGGTCACGAGTGGGGGCGGGCAGGGGCAGCGATCAGGGTGGGCGCCGGCCCCACCCCTGGGACCCAGCGCTCTGCTTACCGCGGGGAGGCGCCTCTGAGGACACACGTCCACTTCCTGGTCCTGAGATGCCCACCTCCGCGCTCGGCACCCACCCGTCACAGGTGCGCTGTGCCTCACTGGGACCTGCCCAAGGCCTTCATCCAATTCTTTTTCTTTTTTTAAGATTTATGTATTTATGTGAAAGGCGAAGAGAGAGAAAAATCTTTCATTTTCCGGTTCACTCCCCAGATCGAAGCCAGGAGACAGGAACTACCTCCTGATCTCCCACGTAGGTGTCGGGGACCCAAGCACTTGGACCTTGGGCTGCCTGCCTTCCTAGGTGCATTAGCCAGAAGCTGGGTTGGAAGCAGAGCGGCTGGGACTCAAACCGGCGCTCTGAGGTGGGATGCAAGCGTTGTGGGCGGCGGCTTAGCTCACTGCACGCAGGCTGCACTTTTTTACAAGAATGATGCCCGCACTGGGGCTGGGGAGCAAAGAGGAGATTTATCTTACTCCAGCAGCAAATGGAGCCCAAGAAACCTCAGCAGTCTCTCCTGGATGCGGTAGAGAACACCCAATTCCCCACTCTTGGCAATGCTGCAGTTGAATCACGTTGCTACTTACCTGTGCGGCCCCAGCAGCCTGTCAGTCAGTGGCTCCATCTGTTGGCAGATTGATGGGCTCTCTCCACACCCCAAACACCAGGCAAGGTGCTGCGGGGGACCCCTGCTCCCCATGACCCTTCCACACAGAAGAACAGACATGGACACACCGGATAGGATGAGTGACAAGGACCTGCAGGCTACCGAGGCTCGGCGGGGTCAGGTGGGGTGGCGGCTGCTGGGCACTGTGGGAGCTGGATGGAGTGAGGACAGGAAATCTGTAGCGAAGGGGGGACTGGGGTGCACACTTTACATCTCATGGTAGAAATATCCAGCTGCAATGCTCAGCTCTCATTTTAGCATCCACTTTCCTTTTTTTTTTTTTTTTTCTGTTGTTATACCCTGAGCACCTTTAAGGGACCTACTCCACACCCATTCTAGGTCCACTAGGTAAGTTGCGACTGCCTGACCTCATTCTTCGTTTCCCAAGCTCTGGGAGGTCAGTGTTTCACTAAATGTGACCAAGCTTCCGCACCACACAGTTTGGTGTGCAGTGAACTCAGGCCCGAATGTCCAATGGGGTGCCTTCTCCAGTCACCGGACCTAAGCTGAGCCAACCATAGTCTGGCCCAGCTACTGAAAAGCTGACTTTGAACTTGAGGGGTGCGGTGGTTAACTTTAAGTGTCAGCTTGACTGCACTAGTCCCTAGAGACTTGTAAGGCATAGTTTGGGTGTGTCTGTGAGCGAGGTTCTGAAGGACATTGTTCTGTGGGTCTGGGCCGACTAGGTGGGGAAGACCTGCCCTTCATGTGGGTGGGCACCACCCGTCAGCTGGGTACCAGATAGAAAAATTGGAGGAAGGGGGATGGATCGCTTGCTCTTTCCTGGAACTGGAAGATGCTCTTCTTCTACCCTGGGACATCAGGACCCCAGGAATTACACCAAGCAGCCCCAGGCTCTTGGGCCTTGGGTTGCCCTGAGCCACACTACCGGCCCCCAGGGCCACTAGATCCCAGACAGCCTGTCATGGGATTTTTCATAGCTGCATGAACTAACACTTACAATAAATCACCCACATCCAGCCAGCCAGCCAGCCAACCACCAATCCATGCATGCATGCATCTATCCATCATCCACCCACCCATCCATCCATCCATCCACCCATTCATCCATCCACCATCTATCCACCTGTCCATTCTGTCTGAAGAGCCCTGACTAACAAGGATACCCTGGAACTGGTGGAAACTTCCTCTGGAGATGGAGAATGGGATCTGTAAAGTAGGCAGAGAGATGAGACCTGGAGGGAAACCAGATGCAGATGGTGTACTTGAGGCAACCAGACCTGAACCAAGATCTACCTCTGGGCTTCTCTGCAGCATGAGCCAATAAGGTCCCTTTTCTCTGAAGCCAGGTTGGGTTGGGTTTTGTCTTAAAGCAGATGGAGTTCCTGCTGCCATCTCAGTGACGTACTTCCTCTTGTTTGACACCATCGTGAGCTGCCAGGGTGGGATGACTCTGTCTTACAGGTCAGGTCACTAGATCAGAGGACTCTCCCAGGGTCACACCGCTGAGGGCTTGGCTCTTGAGATTCCTAACCCTAAGTTCTACTCTGTGTTGTTCCCTGTCTCCATGAGCAAGCTCACAGGACAGTCAGTCCAGCTCCCACCTGCCACCCTGCATATACTTCTGCAAGCCAGAAGGAAGGGTGGCAGGAGAATAGGACATCTTGGTGTGGTACCAGGAGTGCCTCCAAGGCAGGGACAGGACCAGTACTCCAGATAAGGCATCCCTTCTCCCAGGCGACATGCCAAGAGACTTGTGGTTCATGCTTATTTATTTTTAATTTAACTTATTTATTTTATTTGAAAGGGAGAGAGAGAAAGAGGCAGAGAAAGGAGACTGTGTGTGTGTGTGTGTGTGTGTGAGAGAGAGAGAGAGAGAGAGAGAGAGAGAGAGAGAGAAAGACTCCTACTCCTACCTGCTGGTTTACTCCCCAAATGCCCACAGCAGCCAGGGGGTGGGCTGGGCTGAAGTAAGGAGCTAGAATCCAATCTGAGTCTCACATGGGGGTAGGCAGGGACCTAAGTACTTGAGCCATCTCCTGCTGCCTCCCCTTCCCAGGGAGCTGGAATTGGGAGCAAAACCAGAACTCAAAGCCAGGCACTCTGCTATGGAGTGCAGGTTTCCCAAGTGATGTCTTAACCAAGAGACCAAATGCTCACCCCTTCGTGTTGACATAAAGGTGTTAGCTGACCGGCAGAAAAGATTTGCCTGTTGATGTATAGCACCAGAAAGCAGTTATTTGTCACCTGCCTCTGAGTCCTAGAAATGCAGGCTCATCTCCTTGCCTCCGATGCTGTCCCCATCACTGAGAATATCACACTCCTCCACTTTACCCTTTCCCACTGACCAATCGATTCAATCAGCATACCTACCCCATGCAAAGCACTGTATTCATTGATTGGGAACACAGGAAGGAATCACTCACGGTCAGTGCATTCAACGATGCTTCCCTGAGCCAGGCCCAGCGTCTCCATCAGACTTTTCCAGGGCTGATGGAGGCAGCAGCGTGCAAGCCAGCAGTGTGTTGTCCTCAGGCAGCTACAGGCTGGTGGAGGGCTAAGACAAGGCAGTGGATGGCAACTGCTCCTTGGCCTGCCTCTCAGCCTCTCCTAATAATAGCTCCTGACACGTTCAGAGGCTGACCTCTCACCTTGGCACTCTTGGTTGGATTGACTGCAGCACCTGGAGGACTCCTGCCCCATGCAGTTAACTACCAGAGTTTCCTTGTTCCATGCTCACCCATGCCTGAATCAGTATTCCCAGGTTCCGAGGGGGAAGCCTGGGCATAGCCGGAATGACATGCTCAAGGTCATGCCCAAGGCCTGGTTAGAAAAATGGCAGAGCTGGGGCCTGTGTTGTGGCATAATGGGCTAAGCCGCCACCTACGCCACTGGCACCCTATATGGACATTGGTCTGTGTCCCAGGTGCTGCACTTCTGATCCAGCTCCCTGTTGATGGCCTAGGAGAATCAGTAGAAGATAGATCAAGAGCTTGGACCCCTGCCAAACATGTGAGAGACCTGGAAGAAGCTCCTGGCTTTGGCCTGGCCCAGCACTGGCTGTTGTGGTCATCTGGGGAGTGAACTAGTGGATGGAAGATCTCTCTCTCTCTCTCTCTCTCTTGCTTTCTCTCTCTAATATGACTTTCAAAATAAATAAATAAAAGTCCTTTTTTTAAAAAAGAAAGAAAATGACAGAGCCAGGATTCAAAGACTGAAACCCATGCTGCCTGGTCCCAGAGATTTGCTCTTAACCACCGATCTACAATGCTTTGCATAGTCAGCGAGTTGGTGTTGCCTGGGTCATTGGTTCTCATTCTCCCAGAAATAAGAATCCTGAGGATGGTGACATAAAGAGGGGCAGTATTGCAGTGGTTGTCTGTTGCTAATGTGCTGGTTGGATTGCTGGGTATACCCCCACTTGCCCATAGTCCAGAAGCTTCCCTGGTTTTCTCCCTTACAATCTGCTGTGTGAAATTTCCTGTGTTCTGCAGGCCACTCCATATGCTTCCAGTAAACTCCCTTTAGACTAAATCTAGTCCTAGTCCTGCCATCAGGAGCCCTGATGGAGACAGGAATTAACACAATTACCATTAGCACATGGCATAGATGAAGTGCTTGGGGCTTTGTAGCTGTGCTAGTGTTTGAGAGAGCTGAAGGATGTTTGGGTCCAGGGGAAGGTATTTGTGCAAACGGGAAATTATGTGTGCTCAAGACAAGATGCAAGTCAAATATGTCAGCAGCCCTAGGGTGCACATTTTCATCTCAATCACTGAGAAAAAATTGGTTTAGGCTCCCATCCTGCCGCTGTCACCTCCTTGCCTGGGAAGTGAAGATTGAATGCTTGCAGGGGGCAGACCCCCAGTGAGGTTCCGCACAGGGTTCAGGCAGACATCAAAGTTAATCCGTCCTCTGATCTAAGCAAATGGTGACGAGACTTTCCTGGAACAGAGGCTCTACTAATTGTAGCACTGCAGTCCAGCAGAGGTATTTATAGCACAGTGTGGATTCCCAGGGAAGTGTTGGTGCTATCTGTGGTCGAATGCTTGAAGTCTGGAGCAGAGTAGGATCTCCTGTAGCATCCTCCGGTCCCGTGCTGTTGAGAATAAGTAAGTGCGGAAATGCTTCCGTGTGTTTATGAGGTGCTGTGACTGTCTGTCTGTCTGTCTGTCTCTCTCTCTCTCTTTCCCTTCATTTGTTCCAGTATTTCTGGGTCAGATCACTTATCCGGTGTTTCTTCTTTGGTCTCCACTTTCCAAGTAAGATGTGTCCCCAAAAGTCGGCTTTGGCTTATCTCTTGCCGTGCTAGGCACCCTGTAGTTTAACGCAAGCCCTCCCGACTTCCGGAGTGTGCAGAAGAGCAGGCCTTCTGCTGGAGTCAGGGTTACATGCCTGCCGGACAACCTCGGGCTCCACACCGCTTGCTCCTGCCCCTCCTCACCAGCACGGACCCTGGCCGGCTTTGTAGTCTCATCCGCATGGCCGAGGCTTCCTGGCTGGCCTTGCACACACCACCCTCCACCACCACTGAACCGTCTCCTTCGTGTGGTCGTTGAAGCTTTCTTCTGCACACACAGGTCTGGCCCAGCACTGCCCTGCTCAGTAGCCCCGAGTGTTTCCCTAAAGTGTAAATTTCTCAGCAGGGCCCTTGGGCCATGGTCACCAGTCAATGAAAGGCACCTGCCACATTCATGCATCTCTGCTGCATGGAAAGGTGGTCTAGGTTGCCAAGTTTTGGGCCTGTGTTCACCTCTGACCCAGAGCACAATGGACGGTCAATACATCTGCCTGCGTGGACAACAGGCTGACCCAATCCAGGACTCTGCCTGCAGAATTTGAACCCGGAAAGTCAGAGGATCAGGAGTTGGGCTGGAGGTGTAGCAGCCGGGCAGGTGCACAGTAATGGCAGGAGGTGGGCTGTGGGAGAGCCCAGGTGATGAGTCAGTAGAAGCCGAGAGAGAAATACTCTTAGACGGTGAGTGGGGCGGGAGTTGCCTGGGAATAGCAGGCAGCAGAGAACAGTGGAGGAGAATTAAGTGAAGATCCGCAAATTCCTGCAGCTGAGAGGTAACAAGATACCTTAAGCCCTAGGACTGGCTTCCTGGGATTCGTTTGTTCATTTGCAGATTCCTGCCCCTCTTCACTGAACACTCATATATGCCAGGAACCTCTGCAAGCCTTAGACAAAGTCTTTGCCATCACGGAGCTGACATTTTAGCTGGGGAGGCAAGTGACAAGTAGAGTTTCAAAATAAAGGCAATTCTAGAAGGAATCAATGCTGGGAAGGAGAGTCGAGCAGGCCAGGGAGGTGTAGGGTAGAGGGGGCGACCGCTTTTAAGGCAGAGAGACCTGAGTGGAAAGAAGGGGACCTACAAGTGCAAAGCTTGAATTGTGCTTGCTCCTCACAGAGCAGCAAGGAGTTCCACGTGGCTGGAGGGGAGTGAGCCAGGGAGCCCGAGAAAGGACATCGGGTCAGCGAGGTGGCCGTGGCAAGAGCCCAAGCTGTGGGCTTCATGAGCCTTGGGAAGGGCTCAGGATTTCACTGTGCCTTCCAAGGATGTTCACTTGGAAGAAGATCCCACTTCTGCTAGGAACCCTTCCACGGCCACTTGACGTGAAATGAACTCCTCTCTCCTAACTCCTATTTGGATTGTGTGTGACTGTGCACCTGACCACCTCTCACTTCCTATGATTTCTTGCAGTGCTGGGAGTTGACTGGGGCATTCTCGTGCAAGCCAAGGTGTGGCTGAGTGTTGAGAAAACTGATGCTGTCAGGGTTATGCACTGGGTCATCCCACTGGGCTCGCTCCTACAGCTGACAGTAGCTGCTGACCTGGGGTGTCCACAGCAGCACCCACAGGTGACACCTCCCAGAATCAGGAGGAAGCTGCAGGGTTTCTGATGGGTTACCCGTGGAAGCACCCAGAGTCATCTCGATGCGTTCTATTAGCCAAGCTGGTCTCAGGACCAGAGCGGCGTCAAGGAGAGGAGAGCCACACTTTCAGCAGAAGCCCAGGAGAGGCTGTATGGCTCTCTTCCATCTCTAACAGTTTGCACAGTGCTTTTCCCATGCACTGGTTATAGTGTCAGCCATCTTTTGCTTTATATTACAATGAATTAAGGTTTTCTTTATTTTACAAACTAGATTTCAAATCCTTGGGGGCATTATATCTTACTGAATCCAATATTTTCAGTGTGACACCCCCAATAACAACAAATTTTTATGGAGTTCCTCCACCGTGTGCTTCGGCTCATCCCATTGAATGCTCGATCTCATCTAATCTTTAGCCTGACAAGATAGACATTGTTCCCATTTCACAGACCAGAAAAATGAGACCTTGCTCAAAGTCACATCACTGTGGTGGATTTGAACCCATTTTGAAGTCTGTAGTCTCATTCTCTCTTCCACCACCTCATAGCATTGGCACTGTCCCCATGGGATTGACCTACTGTAACAAACTCATAGATTGAGTGCCTTCAACAATGAACATTAATTTCTTACTGTGCCAGAGGCCGGCAAGTCCAAGATCAAGGTTAAGGCAAATCCTGCTTCTGGTGAGGGTGCTCTTGCTGGTTTGCAGATGGCTGTCTTCCCATTGCATCCTCACCTGCTAGTAAAAGGGGTGGGGCAGTGCTCTCTGGTGTTTCTTCCTATAAGGTGAGGACCATACCCTCAAAACCTCATCACCTGTAGAAGGCCCAACCTCCTAACACTGTGGGTATTAGACCTTCAACCTATAGATGTGTGGACCAGGAGCACATGTTCAATCCATAGCAGGTGCTCAAGAAATGTGCTCACAGGTGACACTCTGGGCTGGCGTCACCAAAGTGCCACTGAGTGGAAGAGAAGAGGAAGAAAAAGGGATGTAGTGCAGAGAGGGAGCAGGGAGTTGTCAGCTATGGCTCCAGCGGGCCCCAGAGTCCCTGTGCCACGCAGCCCCGAGCAGCCTGCTCTGGGAATGCAGAGTGTGTGGACTCAACAAGGAGTCGGGATATTTATTGGGCTGGAGTGCCTGATGCAAGACTTTCCTCCAAAATTCCAATTTGCTATCTGCCAAGGTAAATGATAGAGGCTTACAGTTCATGCTGTAGCACATCTACCCAGGCCAGGCACCTCCAACTCGGAATTCCTGGTCTGCTTCCTTCCAGCTAGAAGTGAATGGAGATTTACTTACCGCCCAGAATAAGCACATCTCCTGCTCAGCAAGATCCTGGTTTTAAAAGATTCTGGTTTTACTCGGGGAGTAGCGATCTATGTGCACCTGTCTCTGTGCAGAAGGAGACACTAAGACAAATGGATCCTCTCCCACCAAGGAGGTGGCAAATGCAACTCAGTGTTTTATGTTAAACAATCTCTTAGACTTCAGTGTCTTAATGAATGTAAGGGCATCCGTGGGCCAAAGGTGTGAAAAATAGCAGCAGTTCTCGATGGGCATGTGAACGCTCAGTGAATACAATGGGAGCATGGACTTTTTCTTTTGCCCCTCCCCCGTGGTCCCCATGCTCAGAGGACCATTTCCAGACCACATCCAGCCCACTCCTGAAAGACATCCTCTGTGAATGGTGGCCACACATGTGGGTATTACCGGGCACGTGTGTCTTCAGTGCCTCAAGGGCACAGTTATGCCACTCCATGTGACAAGGTAAGTAGCCACCTGCAGAGCCAGTGTCCCTCATGTGAGCACAGGCTGGAGTCCTAGCTACTCCACTCTGATCTAGCTCCCTGCTAATGCACCTGGGAAAGCAGCGGATGATGGCCCAGTCACTCTGCCTCTCAAAGAAACAAATGTAAATCTAATGAAAAGTCACTAGGTCGGCTGGCGCCGCGGCTCACTAGGCTAATCCTCTGCCTTGCGGCGCCGGCACACCAGGTTCTAGTCCCGGTTGGGGTGCCGGATTCTGTCCCGGTTGCCCCTCTTCCAGGCCAGCTCTCTGCTGTGGCCCGGGAAGGCAGTGGAGGATGGCCCAAGTGCTTGGGCCCTGCACCCCATGGGAGACCAGGAGAAGCACCTGGCTCCTGCCTTCGGATCAGCGCAATGCACCAGCCGCAGAACGCCGGCCGCGGTGGCCATTGGAGGGTGAACCAACGGCAAAGGAAGACCTTTCTCTCTGTCTCTCTCACTGTCCACTCTGCCTGTCCAAAAAAAAAAAAAAAAAAAAAATTAAAAAAAAAAGTCACTAGGTCTACACCAAATGCAATTGTATCTTTTTAAAAAATGAATTTATTTATTTGAAAGACAAAGAGAAAGATGGTTCTATCTGCTGGTTCACTCGCCAAATGGCTGCAATAGTCAGAGCTGGGCTAGGCTGAAACCAGGAGCCAGGAACTGCACTTGGGTTTCCCACATGGATGTGGGAAACTCAGCTGCTTGGGCCCTCATCCCAGGAACATTAGCGGGGAGCTCGATCAAAGGGGATTAGCCAAGACTGGAACTGACCTTCCTGTGTGGGATGTGGGCATCCTAAGCTTAACCTGTGACACCATAACACCTGCCCTGCAATATTATCTTTTATGGACCACCAAGCCTACTGAATATTTTTGTCTACTCTGTTTCCCACGTACCATCCCCATAACCCTACTCCATATCACAGTCATGGAGAACTTGTGGAAATTGAAGTCAGAGTGCTTGACCCCCAGCTGACGCACCCCCAAAACCTTCCCAATTATTTTGAATAACATCTTGTGTTAAATTGAATTAAGCTTGACTTCAAGATTTCTCTGTACATAGCAAACTGTAACCTAACTTGACGCGTAAACAGATTTTTAGCTACTCTTGTAGCACGTATAGCTGAGTCTCAGCCAACCACAAGTGGCCAACTGTTCAAACTGTGCTCAAATAAGACAGACACAAGTTATAGCCAATCAGGCTGCCCCTGTCCCTCACCTGTTTCCCTTACAGCACTTCCTTTTCTCTGGCTATAAGTACAGTCTGCCCATTGGCCACCAGGTGAACCATTCTGAACAAGTGTTGGTTCTGATTGCGATAAAGCCAACCAAGAGCTGCAAAACCGCGATTTGTTGTGATTTTTGCTTTTCACACGAAACATCTTCTGTGCCCTAGAAGGTTCCATCAAGGAAATTATCCTAACGGATCTCTCTCGCTGCCTT